ACTCAGGCTCAAGCAATTCTCTTGCCTCAGTTTTTATATTTTTAGTAGAGACAGGGTCTCGCTTTTGCTCAGGCTGGTCTCAAACTCATGAGCCACTACACTTGGCTAATTTATTTTTATTTTTATTTTTTTGTAGTGATTGGGGTCTCACTATGTTTCCAAAGTTAGTTTCAAACTCCTAGTCTCAAGAGATCCTCCCGCCTCAGCCTCCCAAAGTGCTAGGATTACATGTGTGAGCCACTGCACCTAGCAGATTCCTTACTTTTTATATTTTATATGTCCACTGTAGGTTTTTGTTTTATAGTTACCATGAGGCTTACATAAAACATCTCAGAGTTATAACATGCTATTTTAAGTTGATAACAACTTAACTTTGCTTACAAAAACGGTACATTGGCTCGGCGCCTGTGGCTCAAGCAGCAAGGGCGCCAGCCACATACACCTGAGCTGGCGGGTTTGAATCCAGCCCGGGCCTGCCAACAACAATGACGGCTGCAACCAAAAAAATAGCTGGGTGTTGTGGTGGGTGCCTGTAGTCCCAGCTACTTGGGAGGCAGAGGCAGGAGACTCTCTTGAGCCCAGGAGTTGGAGGTTGCTGTGGGCTATGATGCCACGGCACTCTACCCAGGGTGACAGCTTGAGGTTCTGTCTCAAAAAAAGAAAAAAGGTACATTTTTCTTTGACACCTCTCACAAACACATTCTGTATTTTTGATGTCATAATTTATATCTTTCTATATTGTTTATGCCTTAACAAATCATTGTAGCTATTATCATTTCTTTTTTTTTTTTTTTTTTTTTTTTGGCTGGGGTTGGGTTTGAACCTGCCACCTCTGGCATATAGGGCTGGCTTCTTACTCCTTTGAGCCACAAGTGCCACCCGGCTATTATTATTTCTAACAGTCTTGTCTTTTAACCTTATGCTAAAGATACAAGTAATTTACATACCACCATTATAGGCATAAGCCTACTATTTCCTTTAGCTATCTCCTCCTTTGTTTCTTTTCTCCATCTTGAATTTTAAACTCAAATATTTGCTCTGTTGATGTTTTCCCATCATCATTGATTCTTCTTTCTCCTTCTGACTGTATATTTTCAAATATACTACCTTATTATTATTATATTTTTTTTTTTTTGAGTCTCACTCTGTTCCCCAGGCTGGAGTACAATGGCACTACCATAGTAACTTTGAACTCCTAGGCATAAGCAGTCCCCCTACCTCAGCCTCTTAAGTAGCAGGTGTGTACCACCATGCCTGGCTATTTTTTAAAAAATTTTGTAGAGACGGGGTCTCACAATGTTGCTGGTTTTAAACTCCTGGCCTGAAGTGATCCTCCCACTTCAGCTTTCAAATGTGTAGAGATTACAGGCGTGAGCCCCATACCCAGCACTTTTTTTTTTTTTTAAGAGACGGAGTCTCACTTTGTTGCCCTTGGTAGAGTGCCGTGGTGTCACACAGCTCACAGCAACCTTCAACTCCTGGGCTTAAGCGATTCTTTTGCCTCAGCCTCCCGAGTAACTGGGACTACAGGCGCCCACCACAATGCCCAGCTATTTTTTTTTGGTTGCAGTTTGGCCCGGGCGGGGTTTGAACCCGCCACCCTCAGTATATGGGGCCAGGGCCCTACTCACTGAGCCACAGGCGCCACCCCTTGATCTACTTTTTGATCAATTCTGCTATTAATGCTCTCTATTGCATTTTTCATTTGATTCATTATAGATTTCAGCTCTCAAATTACTCTTTGTTTTTTCATAATTTTAATCTATTAAATTTGTTGTTTACCTAATTTCATTGAATCATTATTCTTTGTTTCTGATCCTTCATAAAATAATTATTTTGAATTATTTGTCAGGCAGGTCATGAATATCCATTTCTTTAGGGTTTTTTTTTAATTGTTTGGGATTCATTGAGGGTACAAAGAATTAGGTTTCACTGATTGCATTTGTTAGATAAAATCCCTCTTAATTGTTCCTGCCCCCAAGAGGTGTGCCATACACCATGACCCCCCCCAACCCCCCACTCTCCTCCCCTCTCACCATTCCCTCATACCTTTTTTTTTTGCCTAGAGATAGTCTCACTTTATCACCTTCAGTAGAGTGCCGTGACATCACAGATCACAGCAACCTCCAACTCCAGGGCTTAGGCAATTCTCTTGCCTCAGTCTCCTGAGTACCTGGGACTCCAGGTGCCTGTCAGAATGCCCAGCTATTTTGTTGTTGTTGTTGCAGTTTGACCAGGGCCAGGTTCTAACCTACCACCCTCAGTATATGGGGCTGGCGCCCTACCCACTGAGCCACAGGCGCTGCCCACTCCCTCATACCTTGTATTTCATCTACTGCCTTCGTATTAGAATTGAGTACGTTGGATTCTTGCTTCTCCATTCTTGTGATCCTTTACTAAGAAGAATGTGTTCTGCCCCAATCCAGGTTAATATAAAAGATATAAAGTCTCCATCTTTTTTAGTAGCTGAATAGCATTCCATGGTATACATATACCACAGCTTGTTAATCCATTCCTGGGTTGGTGGGCGTTTAGATTGTTTCCACATTTTGGCAATTGTAAATTGAGCTGTAATAAACAGTCCAATGAAAATGTCCTTATGATAAAAGGACTTTTTTTTTCTGGATGCCTAGTAATGGGATTGCAGGATCAAATGGGAGGCCTAATTTGAGTTCTTTGAGGATTCATCATACTTCCTTCCAAAAAGGTTGTATTAGTTTACAGTCCCACCAGCAGTGTAAAAGTGTTCCCGTCTTTCCACATCCATCTCAGCATCTGCAGCTTTGAGATTTTGTCATTAGGTCTTTAGGGTTTTTAGGGGTTTTTACGGATCCTTTATATTGTTCTTTTGGTAGGTCAGGGTTCCCGGATTGTCTTGATCCTTGTGGCTATTGTTGGTGTGTGGGCATTCGAAGATGTAGGGATTTATTCTAGTCTTTGCAGACTGGTTCTGCCTGGGAAAGCCCTTCACCAATCAGCATGTCCAGAGATTTTGGGCAAGCTATCTTGTGTGGTTTGTGAGTGTGCTTGCAGCAGGAGTCCTCAGGCAGATTGGCCTAATACCTGGGTCAATGGGTAGGTGGGTCTAGTACCTGGGTCTGTGAAATTGAGTCTGTATTCTCTAGGTTGGACCAGTTGATTGAAATCACAGGGGTGATCCTGGAGCTGTATCTGTGGGGGCCAGTCTGAAGCCTGACTGCACAGCGGCTGACCTTGTGTTGCATGGGCCTTTAGCCTGAATCTGCAGGGGCCATCCAGGTCCTGGATTGGCCTGGAGCCTGAGTTCATAGGGACTAGTCTGGTCCTGGGATGGACTGGGAGCCTCAATTTGTGGAGGCTGGGCCTGTGACCTGGGTCTATAGGAAGTAGTCTAGAACCTACATATACAGGGATAGTCCTGGAGCCTTGGTCCATAGGGTCCCAACACTGGTGTCTGTTGGGGTGGACCTGGACCCTGGATCTGTTAGAGCAGCCTGGACCTTGGGTCCACTGAAGTCTGTGGCTGTGGGGTCCAGCCTGAGCTAGGGAAGCATGGAGCTTGGTCTATGGAAAACAGTCTGGAGCCTGGCTGTGCAGTATTTATTGGGTTGGGTGAGTAGGTCTGTGAGGGTTGGCCTGGGTCCTAGGCTGTGGGACTTGGCCTGGAACCTTAGTCCACAAAGGCTATCCTGGAGCACATGGGGCCAGCCCAGTGCTCAGTCTACTGGGATAGGCCCAGACCATAGGTCTGTTGGAAGACAAGATCTGATCTAGGACTGGGCAGGCCTGGAGCCTATGTCTGCAGGTGATAGCCTGGTGCCTGAGGCTGGGATACTTGCAGGCCTGAAAGCGCTGGACTTTGTGGATCAACTTGGCTCCAGTCTGGTCTGAAACCTAGTCAGTGGTGGGGAGAGGGACACTTACTACAAGCCTAATAATAACTAAGTTATGGGGGTGGCCTGGCTATGGAGTAGGTGTGGATATTGAATCTGCAAGGTAGGCCTGGAGCCTGAGTCTGGGGGGAACTGGCTTGGTGCTATGGCTGGCCTAGAGCTTGTGACCACTGGGGCTTGCCTGGTACTGGAACCAGTTTGGGAACTGTGCTGATGAGGTCACCCCGCCAGGCAGACCTAGGCGACTTGGGTATGTGGGATCCAGCCTGGCAGCGGGCAGGTTTAGAGGCTCAGGCTAGGGGGCCTGCCCAACACTTTTACTGGGGTGGGCCAGGTTTCAGGGTCAGAGGCAAAGTGCAGTCCTCATTTCTCTTTCCTTCTTCCACACAGAAGGTATCTTTCTCCATGCTGTACTGCCTGGAGTTGGGGGAGGTGACATGGGTAACGTGAGATTGCCCTTCATACTTTCTTCAGTATGTCCTTTCTGTGCCATGCCCAGGTACTGTAATCTCTCGCCTGGTATTTTCATATGTGACTAGTTGTTGAAATTGATGTTACTATGAGGCAGCAAGTACTGGAAAGTCCTGTACCATCACCTTGTTTTAACTTTAAATACATTTATTCATGTTGTTATGTATTTGCTTTACTTATTTGTTTTTTCAAAATATTAAGGAGTAGAAGGCCTTTCTCAATTTCCTCCCTTGTTCTACTACATACAGCTTTTCTCCCTTCATAATTTTACACATTTTGCAGTAACCTTATGCTTAACTGTCATTCGCAGAAGACTGGTCATAGTTCTGTGAGGGCACAGACCTCAGCCCCTAGAACAATGACTAGAACATGGGAGGGATTTGATAAGTAATTGTTGGATAAACAGTTTTTATTTATAGTTGTGGAGTCTGGGCCTTCCAAAGATGTTAAGTAACTTGTTCCCAACCTCTCAGCTGTTAAGTTTCAGAACTTGCTTTCCTACTCTTGTCTTTTACACTCCCAGAGTTCATGTTCTTTCCACTGTATCACTCAAATGAGCAGAGACAGATCCAGTCCCCAAACATGCCTTTAGATCTGGGTCTCTACCTCCTGGGCCTTTGCTGCTATTGACGCTTCTGTCTTTCTGATTTCTTTCAGTGTGGTACAGATCTTGCTTGCTGCTGGGGCTGACCCAAACCTTGGGGACGATTTCAGCAGTGTTTACAAGACTGCCAAGGAACAGGGAATCCATTCTCTGGAAGGTAAGCATGGGTACCCTGCTGCTCTGGGAGCTCCTCTCCTTTGACTTCCTTGTAGCCTTGCTTTGGGCAACTCTGGGTGACAGTCTGCCACTTCCTGGCCTTCACATTGCCTCTGGCAGCTCTATAATTTATGTCATTTCAGAAGTCTTAGGGAAAGAAATAGAGGGCTGACTTCACAACCTAATTGGAGGTGGGCGAGACATTTAAACTGGTATTCTCCTGAAAATACCTTGACCTGTGGAGCCTCAGATGAGTGGACAGGGGAACAGGTTTCAATAAAATAATTGTGGCAACTGCATGGAATGTGTTGTTCCTTTTCTACTTCCTGCAGACTTACCCTTCCAGTCCCTGCCTCAGAACTAGAAAACAGTTGTACTGGTTTTTTCAGCCTCACAAGTCCCTAAATACTACTCTGAATACTGCTTTTCCCCCCTCCTATATGTGAAATGCAATCCTGTCTCTGTGACTGGCCCCTCAATTTACTGTATGATCCAGGACAAATAGTGGGCCTTCTCTGTGCCTTGATGTCTGTGCTTATAAAATGGAATCATTATCAGTGCCTCCTGTGGGATGTTATATGGTTGGGTGGTTGAACTTCAGAAGAGGGAAGTATTATACATCTATATCAGGGCATGGTCATGTATTTGCTGGCAGGTACTTAGACAAGTCAGTCTGTGTTGCCTTTGGTGAATAGTTCTTCCAAAGTGAGGTTGAGAAAAAGGCAGGCCAGAGACAGAAATGAATATTTTATATTTGAGTTTTTGTTTGTCTAGACTGTCCTTACTGCCTGCCTATTGTCTTGGATCACTCACTTTAGGGGATTTTTTTTTTTTAGTTGAGCATCCCCTGAGATTTTCAGCAAAAGGGCAGCTGAACAGTGGCTGTTTTAGGGGTGACATTGATGCCAGAGGGACATACGGCCTTGCTGATTGCTTGAGATTCAAACATTGACCCTGGGGGTGATTCAGCTAAGGGGAGCAGTGGACTCAGAGTTATCAGTGAGGCTGCCAGACTGATGAGGTACATAGTAGCCCAGAGTAGAGGTGTTATCGCTGCCCCAGGGAGACAGTTCCTCATATCAATGGTATTATGGCATTACTGCCCAGGTGAAGCATGAAGTCACCCACCCCCTGCCTCTCCACCTCTCTAAACCTAGTCCTAATGCCAAGGCAACATTTTTGAGGCTAGATCTCCACAAAGGCTTTCGTCCTTGGTAATAATTGCAGCCTGCCCTCAGATGCTCTTATGAATGTTCTCTAAATCTTGGCCTTATCTATGGTTATTTGAACTCTCATCTGCCCATATGTCTTTTCTCTCCTTCTCTGCTGACAATTCCATGTATAGGCCATGACCTGTGCCTCCTTAGATTCCCCACTGACCCAAAAGAATTATGTTCACTTTATGTTTTAAACAGAGAATTTCATGAGTGCCAAATTTGCCCTGTATTTGTGGCCTGATCCGTGGGAACTCAGCTCATGAGTTCTCTCCTCACTCAAAGTTTCACCACCCTCACCCTGTCTTCAGTTCTGATATTCTCACCAAGAAGCAAAAATGGGCATTTGCTCAGAGGGCAGAGCCAGATAGATCGGAGGAGATTTTTTTTAGTGCCTTCTCATCTGCTCTCAGGAACCTAGCAGGGCTCAGTAAACATTTTTGTTTTCACAGACTCTCAGAGCTAGGAAACCGTCTTGTCTAACTTCCTAACTTCTGCTGTCACACTGGTCTTCTCTACATATATCACCACATGCATTCAAATTTTATAGCTTTGTGTTCTTATGGTTCCTCCCAGGTTGTTACTCATACTCAACATTCTAGATCATTGGGCAGCAAACTTGTGGAAGTAGCCAGATAGTAAACATTTTAAGCTTTGAGGGATGGTTAGATTTGGTTGTGACTACTCAGCTTGGCCACTGTAGTGCAGAAGCACCCATAAACAATACCTAAACAAATGGACAAGGAGGCTGGGTGTGGTGGCTCACACCTGTAATCCTAGCACTCTGGGAGGCCAGGGTGGATGGATTGCCTCAGCTCAGGAGCTCAAGACCAGCCTGAACAAGATCAAGACCCTCGCCTATACTAAAAATAGAAAAACTAGGCAGGCATGTAGCTACTCCCAACTACTTGGGAGGCTGAGGCAAGAGAATTGCTTGAGCCCAAGAGTTTGAGGTTGCTGTGAATTATGACGCTATGGCACTCTACTGAGGGCGATAAAGTGAGACTCTCAGAAAAACCCTCAAACCAAATAACAAACAAAAACCCAAATGGGCAAGGATGTACTTCAATAAAACTACATTCTAGATAGGTAGGTAGAGAGATAGTCAGCAAAAATATTGGAAGAGCCTATCATGGCCCTCATGAAATAAAAATGAAAACATTAACTATCTCTTATTTTGTATGATTTGCAAAGGTAGTAAGTATGCTTTCTATGGATTTACTTATTTATTCACAAATATCTGTCAATCAAATTTCTATGTACCAGGCATTGTTTGAAGCACTGGTGAGTTAAATAGGATTCCCTGCCATCATGTAGTTTCTTTGATTAAAATGTTTATAAGGACTCTTATTAAATACAGAGTACTAGAGCACATGATCAGGATAATGTTGATGTATTAATCAGTATTAACAGCTGTAATTCCATCAAATTTCATTGTTTTTTATCCTGCATTTCTCCATTTTGTCCACAAAATTACAAGAGATTTTCTTAGATTTCTTGCTAAAATAAAAATAAGTTTAGCATTTTTCTTATTTCTTCCTTAATAACCCTTTTGAAAAAAGAAATTAGGTTATTCTGGCATGTTAATGTCTTGTTCTTAGGGACCCTTAGTTAAGTACCCAGTAATTACCTAAGTATTCAACAACTATCACAAAAAATGACATTCTAGAATTTTGTCAAGAATCATTGATAAACTCTCTCTGTAGTCTGCAAGATCTACTTCTCTCTACTTTTTTTTTCTAAATTCTTTATTGCCTTTATCTGCCATAGTTTTCTAGCAGGTCATCTTATTTGCTGGGTGTGCTGGTTTGGAGGTGCTGTGTTCTCTGCTTTCTGACTCAGGGACCTGGATAGTGATAGTCCTTCAGCATCATCTCAAGGCTCTTCTCTTTCCTCACCAGCCTAAGCCTTTAACTTTGTCTAAACCATGTTTTTCTTTCTTTTTTCCTTTTAAGGATACCCCATTTTTTTACTCATTCAACCAATATTTATTGACTGCCAATTATATACAAGGCACTGTATTGAGCTCTGGCTCATTCTCATTGACAAAGTAAACAGAAACAAAGAATCCTGTGGTTCTCTTTTGTTTGGATTGGATTGCCTTTTTCATGAGAAGCCATCTGACTTGTGGGGATATGTGAGGGAGGTAGAGTAGAATAAGAGGTACAACCCCCTTGCCCTGGATATATCTAGCCAAATTCATAGGAAAGTCACAAGCTCACAAGCTCAGGAAAGTACGAACAGTCCTTTACTATTAGGGTCTACAGTTAGTGCCAAAGGCCATCAAGTTCAATAAATTTCTAATAGATATTTCTGTGGGCCTTTGCCTATACTTAGTACTGAAGAAATGTGGTAAATTATAGTTTGTGACCTTGGCAAGATCTCCCTAACCTCCAGGAATGCCTGCCTTTGTCCACCTTGCCAGTATTGTTGTAAGGATCAAGAGAGAAAATATGTGATGTGTGAAGTACTCTACAGTTGTAATTGCTTACTAGTTTCATTTATTTATGATTCAGCATGTATTTACTGAGTGTCGGCACTCTGCCAGATACTGGGGTTATATAAATGTTTATTCATGGTCTAGCCCAGGGGTCCTCAAACTTTTTAAACAGGGGGCCAATTCACTGTCCCTCAGACTGTTGGAGGACCAGACTGTGGGCCTTGGGACGAGTCGGCTGCCTAGCAGGATAGGCAGCGGTGGCAAAAACACCTGGCGGGCCGGATAAATGTTCTAGGCGGGCCACATGTGGCCTGCAGGCCGTAGTTTGAGGATGCCTGGTCTAGGCCCTCAACAGAGCTCCCTGTCAATTACAAAGACAGGCCTATCTTTGAGAACAGGACAGGCCTTCTTTGAGAAGAAGAACTCACAGTACAGAGTGAGAAATGCAAAAGTAGTCTACAAAGTACATTGGCAGCATTGACAGAGGTAGCGATGAGCTCTGCTTGAGAGAAGAGCAGGCTGGTATCTGGTAAGTGTCATAGGGTGAGTTTGAATTGGGTCTTAAGGACGAGTTGAAGATTGCCAGGCAGCTAAGAGGGATGCACTTTCCAGGCAGAGGGAACAACACATGGAGAGACACTGTTGGGGGTGATGACAGAATCATCTGCCACAGTGTTGAGGAAAAAAATAAGAAATAAGGCTGAAGAGGGAAGAAAGTTACGTGTGGAAAGGACCTCATAAGGTAGTTCTATGGAAGTCATACTGTATTCTGAAGACCATTAAAGGATTTCATGCAGGGGAATGTTGAATTCACATTTGAGTTTTTAGATGGACTTTCTGACAGGGTAGAAGAAGAATCAAAGGGGAGTGATTAGTAATGGTACTTGACCTTTTGGGGATGATGAACCTCTTTTGGGACTCTGATAAGAGTTGATATGCTCCACTTGCCCAGAATGCACTTCAGTTTCCAGAGGTTCTTAAAGGTGATGTTTGGGAATGGAGAAAATAATATTAGGTAAATATTAGGAGGAGACTGAATACTCAGTGGATTGTGAAAACAAATGCAAAAGAAGGCACCCATCCTGATACCTTAGTTTTTGATTTGGGCGGACAGTTGGTTGTATGGGTCTGGAACTCAAAGTAGTAGGAGTCTTTGAGGCAGGAGATGGAGATTTAGGAGTCACCAGCATTGCTTGGTGTGACTGAAATTGTCCAATGGAAGGATGTAAAGTGAGGAGGTAGAAGGACAAGTTTCTTACTCAGGGGGACTAGCATTTAAAGTGTGAGGAGGGAAGAGGATCCAGGCAAGGAAACTAATAGATATCAGAGATACCTTTCTGTTCTATCTGATCAGAACAGGCACAGCCTGAGGAGAAAAGAAACATTTTTGCCCTCCTTGCTGAGACTGTCTCATCAGTTACCCTATTCTTAATGAAACCCTTCTCCTATTTTACATATGAGCATTACTCCTCAGCAAGAAGCCTGCTCAGCTGGATCTATTACAGTATCTTCTACTCTTTCAAGGTTGGTGTTTCTGGGTACAGGGCAGTCTTGCTGGTGCAGGTGACCCAAGGATGCTTGGTATGGAAATCTTGTTGGCCTGATTGTTCTTTCCATTCTTTCCAGCCCTCAGAGTGGCATCTTCACTGTGGTTATCCTGGAGAAAGGTTGGGATTCAGTGCCAGCCATCTGAATGGTTCATCTAAGCTCTGTCTCTTATTAGGTGTGTGATCTTGAGTAAGTGACTTAAAGTCCCTGAATTTCAATTTTCTCATCTGTAACATATGGCTAACAATACCCATCTCATAGGGTTGTTAGGATGATTACAGATAATTGTGTATATGTAAAGCACAGTGACATGTAATGAAGAATTCCTCTATGGAGATGAGTTTTAGCTCAGTGTAAAGTAGGAAGTCTGCATAGGAGGTATTGAGCAACTCAACACTCAAGGGATAACTTTAACAGGCTAAACGTCTGCCCATCAGGAATTCTATAAGGGGGATTCTTGCCCTGGGTCATTGGATTATCTGGCTTCCAGTCAGCCATGTGACTTGTAAGATTCTAGACCAGTGGTTCTCAACTTGTGGGTCACTACCCACGGGAACTATATTAAAGGGCCGCCGCATCAGGAAGGTTGAGAACCACTGTTCTAGAAGCTCTGGGCTTACTATCAGAGCACGAAGTAGGATTTGAGTTGGGCTCTGAAAGGTGAAGAGGAGGGAAAGAAAGAGAAGATGTTTTAAGCAGGAGACACAGCCTGAGCAAAGACACACAAATGGGGTAAATATAGAGGGGGATATGGAGCTCTGGCTGGACCTCTGCCAACTTACTCCCTGATCTTGACCACATTCCATTCAGTGCCTTGAGCCCCACCCATGCCCACTCCAGGAGAGTTCCACTTGTGGCTGGCTGATGGGTGATGGGCCCTAATCCTCAGGTGGAGGAGGCAGTAAATTAGTGGTAACAGTAAATAAGTCACCCAGCTGGGGATGCCGCTGGCTGCTTGTAACTGTTATAAACATTGGGTGTCTGAGGCTGTCAGAAATGCAAGCGAGCATTCTGAGTGCCTTTCATATGTACAATTAAAACAATAAAACACGGCGGAAACATGGCCAGATCAGGCCATAAATCAGCTTCTCTTCTCAGCTCCAAGAGGCAGCTGAATAAAGATGAGTTGTGAAGAAGCTGGATTGACATAGGGCCTTTCTGGGGTTAGAGGTCCTGGCTTACCAAGCTAGAACTACCAGGGCCAACCCTACCAGGCTGAATGCCCCCTTTCCACAGCTACAGGGGCTGTAGGTCCTGGCCTGCTCCAGCTGACCTCCCCATCTCTGTGTCTTCAGATGGGGGACAGGACGGTGCAAGCTGGCTCATCACAAACCAGTGGACAAGTGCCCTGGAGTTCAGGAGATGGCTAGGACTCCCCGCTGGCGGTAATGGAACTGCTCTCTATAATATTTCTCCCCTTTTTCAGGACATGCTGACTATCTCATCTACTCAGTATATATAAGTTAACCATCCAGCACGCACTGCGTGCCCAGCCCTACCTAGGCATAGCAGAAAGACTGTGTGTCCTTGGAGAGCATTGACTCAGATGAGAACAATAAGGTTCCCAAAGATAAGAATATCCTAGAGAGCTTATTCAAACACAGATTCTTGGACCCCCACCCTCAGAGATTCTGACTGAGTAGGTCTGGGATGGGAGACAATGCATTTCTAACAGGCTCACACTCTTTGAGTAGCTTGACTAGGCTATGGGTGTTAGTTGAAGTCTCATACTTGAACTGCATAAAAAACTCATCTGGGGCGGAGCCAGTAGCTCAGTGGATAGGGCACTGGCCACATACACTCAGGCTGATGGGTTCGAATCTGGCCTGGGCCAGCTAAAAACAATGGCAACTATAACAATAAAAACAAAAAATTAGCCATTGCTAGTAAGCATTGTGGCGGGTGCCTGTAGTCCCACTACTTGAGAGGCTGAGGCAAGAGAATCGCTTAAGCCCAAGAATTTGAGGTTGCTGTGAGCTGTGATACAACGGCGCTCTACCCAGGGCGACAGCTTGAGACTCTGTCTCCAAAAAAAAAATTCATCTGGGCCTTCACTTCTGGAGGAGACTTTATTTTGCCACTTTCAGGTTTAGTCCTAGAGAGGCTGTGTGCTTAAGGCATGGTATTATGGGTGTGCAGAACAATAGCTGAGACACCCTGAACAATTTCCTGCACCTCTTAGAGGCTCTATCTCCCGACTTGTAAAATAAAGGTTATTGGGAGAGTGAGAGGTAGTATATTTATCCCTAACCTAAAACACAGAAGAAATTTCATTACTATAAACCTCTGTTTCTTCATCATAATCCTCATCATATTCTTATGGAACTTTATTCAAAGTCTTTGACACAGCCTTCCAAGTGTTTTTCTGTGGTAGCAAAGTATTATTTTCAAAAGCTAAATACGATTTAAGTTCAAGGAATGGCTTAGCCATCACCTGTGTGGCCTTGGGCAATTCTTTTCTGTCTCTGAGCTTGATTTCTCGTCTGTAGATACTACTATTTCTCATACCACATACTTATTACAAAGCCCAAAATGAAGTACTTAGGAAAGCTCTTTCAAAAATACAGGGCATTGTGCAAATGTAAGGTGCTAACAAGAACAATAATTAGTAATAATAAAGATTGAAAACATTGGGAGGCGCCTGTGGCTCAGTGAGTAGGGCGCCAGCCCCATATACCGAGGGTGGCGGGTTCAAACCCAGCCCCGGCCAAACTGCAACAAAAAATAGCCGGGCGTTGTGGCGGGCGCCTGTAGTCCCAGCTACTCGGGAGGCTGAGGCAGAAGAATCGCCTAAGCCCAGGAGTTGGAGGTTGCTGGAGCGACTCCGCTGCACTCTACCAAGGGCGAAAAAGTGAGACTCTGTCTCTACAAAAAAAAAAAAGAAAGAAAGAAAACATTACCAAGACGCTATTTGACAAGGGTCCAGTTGGGGATGTAGGGAACAAGTCCTGTCAAAGAGTTCAGAGAAGAGAATCTCTGACTGAAACAGTCAAGGAAATAAAATGTTATTCGAGGTTTAAAGTATAGGAATGTTTTAGATAGCTGTATGGAGGACTGATAGGTTAGTGCAGTTGAGTGTGAGTGGAGAGGGAGAGAGTGTGCTATGTCCAGACATTCAGAGGTGGGAAACAGAAAATTATATTTCAGGCTGGTAGGCAAACATGTTAGGGTGCAGCATCCATGCAGCAGAAGATTCATTTAGAAAGCGATGAGCAGTAAAGATGCAGCATTAATAAGCAAGGGCCAGATCAAGACACTTGGGCTTTATCTTGACAGAGAGGAGTCTTGAAGGTCCTAGAGAAGAGGATGCTGTAGGAACTGGTTCATTCCAGGGTAGAGAAGCAGGGGAAGGTAATGATGAGATGGCAGTGATGATAGCTGCAGCAGTAGCAGGTGACATTTATTGAGACTACTGTGTATTTACAACAACCCTATGATTAGGCACTGAAGGAAACTGAGGCAGAGCAATTAAGCCGGATTTGTATAGAATCCAGCAGCCATATCAGCCTATGTGTGCCCCATATCTAGTCAGCTTAGAACCTCTGGCTTGTTCAAAGGCTTGGGAATCTGCCGGGCCAAAAGCTGTTTAGGCAAGGTATTACTTTTAATAATGTCCCTGACTTTTTTATGCTTGTCCAGGCTCACTCAGAGCCTGTCACACCACTGTCAGGGCCAGTGGTTGTACATGTCATTTCTCAGTAGTGCTGGCCACCATAGAGTGCACTGTCACTTCATCAGGCATTTTGGCCAACTGCAAGATTAAGTGTATCAGCCAGTTAGGTTAATTGTTTCCACCCTTTTAGCCCTCCAAATGTGTGTGTGTGTGTAACTCCTAGGAGAGGGAAATAGACTAGTTGACATGTTTTATTAAAAAGAATAAATTTGGTGCATTTATAAAAATAAGAAAAAGTGGGATGGGGTGGCAAAGAACTAGTCTTGTGATTTTTAACTGATTTACATATTTTGTGTATAAATATTTTTTCATCAAAAGTTCCAAATCAGGGATGGGTCCCACACACCACACAAAATATATTAGAGACATTTATATGGATAGCAGGAAGGGAGACAGAGGGCTGAAATTTTCCAGGCACCCAGTGATTGATGGGGGCTGAGGCTCCCCCTGACGCTTTATTGAGTTTCCGATGATTATCTTTCGCTGAGACATTTTTTACAGATGACGGTCGAGCTGTCACAATGGACCATGGGGGAAAAAAACCCAACAATAATAACACTTTAATCTTTTTACTGCACTGCTCCCTAGTATCTCAGATTCATCTTCCCTGACGCACGCAGTTCATTATTCTGCCCCTCCCTGGATGGGAAATAAAGGAAAATAAATATATATGTAGACACACTTACCCACATACATACACACACAATATATATATAAAAGAGACCACCTCAGAACCAGAGAGGGGCAGAATTTATTGTTCGTTTTGCAAGTGTTGAACGTTATTAGTAGAGATGCTGGGTTGGCTTGGAATTGGCTATTAATTACAGCATTTTGTATTTGTTTTTTATTGCACATTTTTTTAACATCTTGAAGAAAAGACAGGGGAGAGGCAAGCAGGTGTAGAAATGGGGAACACAGAGGACCGAGTTTGACCAACTAAGTAGCATAGCTGGCCACAAGGCAAAGAGGGCAGGCGCCTTCCTCTTGTTGCCAGACCTGCCCCAGAGGATCCTTAGAGCTGAAAGTATACTGCTTTGGTTATGATAAGAGGCAGGGGAGGAGTGGAAAGTCGGGGAGCTCAGGATAATTATAAGACAAATCAAAGGGAATCTAGATAGTTATAAACAGGTCACTACTCTGAAAGTTAGGAGAGGTGGGAAGTAGAGGAGGTTCAAACAGATTTTTGATGGGTCTGCAGATAACAGAGTAACAGATTCTTAAGAGTTTGCCCCTCTACCTTTTGAAATTGGGGATACAAAGGTTCTTTGGTGAAAAGAGTGGTCCTACACTAACAAGGATGATGCCACACTGTCTCAGGCCACAGGTAGAGCCAACAACCTCTTTAAATTCTTTGCCAGCCTTCCTGACAAGGAAGTAAGAGAAGGTGGACTTGGGGTTCCTTTGGGGAAGCTGTCCTTGATGTGTCTCCAGTAGAGTAAATGTTGACCCAGTCATCTTTTTTTTTTTTTTTTTTTT